CACATTTGCTATATTACTGAAATAATTGCTCTCTCGAACTCAACCTTCGGCGGAGACGCCTTCTTCAGAGCCTGGAAGGATCATAACTGTTTGTGACTATCTGTCTCCACTCCTCCTGAAGTTCAAAACCACCAGCACTCGCAGGAGTGAAGGAGAAACACTCACCATAGCTCTGCGGTATCCTCGAAATCACCCAGCAACCGATGTTACCAATCGACCAGGGTCAGCTGGGGTAGCACTTCAATCAACGTTTGTGCGGGAAGACCAACTTTATATAAGGCCGCAGCTTCAGCGTGACTGCGATGCATTCTTCACTGCTGTTCATTTTTATATCGGTGACCTGTATCGGGTTTTACACGCGCACAATTGCGATTCCTGTGCCACCACCTCCACGGTGACTTCAAAAACGCCTCCGTTGCGCTTCTGAATTCGGTGAATGCCTGGGGCAGTAGACTTTTTCAATCGCTTCACACCACCTACGTGCCCCTTGATTCTCTCGTGATATTGCCGTTTCGCCAAAAATACTAATCACAACAATTAGGCAAGTTGTCTTGTGGACCACACTAGAGATGGTGTATCGCCCTCCTTGCCAGCTAAGCAGACTACACAGTCTGAGGTTGTACATAGGCGATCGTGTAGTCTGTTCCAAACCGGGCGCTTCTTTAGATTCAAAAGTGGTACGTTTACACCTGTATCACCTGTCATCCCGTTGATTGTAGATTTCCTTGAGCAGCAAAGTCTCCATTTGTCCCTGTCGCAAGCCAGATAGTCCAGTGAATCGCCCTCGTTCGAAGGACACGAGACAGGACATTCCTTTCGCTCAGAACTTTCGTGAAGAAGTCTGATAATTGCGTTTGCGGCCGTCCTGAAGTTCGTTTGATGTTCCGAGGGATCCAGTCAGTAGCCGTCCTGGTCAAACGGTCATCACTATATCTCATTACGTGCACTGCCCATCTGATTTTCGACTTCTTGGCGTATCAAACGGCATCCCTCCAACCATTCGTCGTCGGCGGAGCTCGCAACTCCGGATCCGTTCTGCATTTGCGTGTATAGGAAAATTCCAAGCTACATATAGCACTAAACAAAGTGAGTGAAGGAATGCTCTTCATTTATTATGCTCTCTCCTTTCTCATTACCTATAGCATCGTCCTTTCCACAGCGCGTTGAAAGACCCTAACTGCATGCACATTCTGCTTCCGTAGAGTCAAAGTCTCTGAGGCGTATGTCAAAGCAGGATGGACCCCAAAAGGTGAGGATGTTTCTCACCGGATGTTCTTCATTTGCTTCTCTACTCCCTCGAAGTTCTTGGATGCTCCCCACGCCGCGCGTTTTCGTCTGCTCAGCTCCGGAGCTAGGTCGTTTATCATGTTGACTCCCCGAACTAGATTCACATGGCTGGAGCACTCAGAGATCCAGCGTGAAAGAAGCATCAGGTACCAATCCGTTTCGCATGAACATCGTCTTCGTTGGGTTCAGTCGTAATCCGATCTTTCCACAAGCGCTGTCGAACTCAGCCGGCTCGATGTTGGGTGTTATAAGCACGATGTCATCTGCAAAGCGGAGACGATGTAAGTAGCGGCCGTCGACCTTCACTTCCATGCCTTATCATACCATATGACGCATGGCATTCTCGAGAGTGGTTCTGGAAAGATAGATTGGGAGAAATGGTATCACCCTGTCGAATCCCTCTCTTCACGTTAACGATGGTCTCTTTGTAGAATGGCGAGGTACTGGTCGTGAGGCTGTTATAGAGCTCACGAAGATTCCTTACATATTGAGTAGTAATTCCCTGGTTGCCCAGGGCTTCAAACATCACTTCTGTCTCGACGGTATCAAAGGCTTTCTTTAAATCGATGAACGTAAGACATAACAGCATTTTGTACTCCCGCGATACTTTAGTGAGTCTTGTAATGGTGTGGGTGTATCCATTGTCCTGAATCCTCTCCGAAACCCTGCTTGCTCATATGGCTGTCCTTTATCTGATATTCAGCCAATCCTGTTACTCGTGCGAAGAGTTCATAGATTACAGACAGCAGGCAAACTGTGCGATAATTGCCAATGTCGTATGGATCCCCTTTCTTATACAGCAACAGGTCTCACGAGTTCTCCACGAAGTGGGCACTTTGCATTACGACAGCTACCACCTGAAAAGCAGGGCCAGGGTTTTGACAATGACTGGCGAAAGGTTCTTCAGATGTTCTGCTTTGACCCTGTCGGTACTGAGTGCCGTCCCTTTCCTCATCGACGTGATGACATGTCGAAATTTGGAAGGGAGAACTGAAGAGACAACGTTACCGTCTCGTCTAAGATGGTAGATAGGAAGGTAGACGTGGCTGTCGAAGAAATCAGAATAGAAGTCGTTGATGACCTCCTCCGTTGCCCTCCGGGATGCAGTAACAGTTTCGTTAGGACGACGAAGGGAAGTCATCTTGGTCTTAGATGCGACGGAGCTCCGGCGGGCTTTGCGAATGCTCTTTCCACCTTCGGTTACTTCAGTCAAAGCTGCTCTCTTTCAGATCTTCACTTCTTGGCCACAATGTTATAGCCAGGACAGGTGCCAATCGCTGTCCCATAGCCAAGTCTCTGGACTGTGCGAAATACCTCCCTGACCACTTCAATATCTAACAACTGAGTTACTCCTTTACAAGCTTCATCAGTTGGGATATGGGATTCTCTCGAGGCATTTTGGATGCAGGTCGTCGATCCAAAAATCAGATTTTTTCATGATCACAAAGAATATTTTTCTGAATGGCGTGATCCTCCGACATGGTAGTACCTCGATTGATGGGGAGAATCCTTTTGTACTACCGTTCATATCTGATGAGGTCAGTGCCACTACTAGGAAGTGTCTATAGAGATCGGGCTTGGAAAACGCGGTTGCCATTGTGAACGAACCACCCTTAAATCTAACAAAGCGCCTGGTTCGGAGCTATGACCTATGTACAACCTCAGACTGTGTGGTCTGCCCAGCTGGCAGTGTGGCCAATCACTGTGGTGATTGTACCATCTTCGGGGTGGTCCACAAGACTGCCTTGACTGTGGTGATGAGTACTATTAAGGAGCACATAGATGGTATGAAGCGATTGAAAGAGTCCACTGCCTTAGGGATTCACCGAATTCACAAGCACAACGGAGGCGTTTCTAAGTCACCGTGGAGGTCATGGCTCATGAGTCGCAACTATGCTTTTCCAATGAGCAAAATATTCAAGACTCTCACTAATATATAATAGTTCTCAAAACTGGATATGATCCATGTCACAGAAAAAAAGCTAATTTTTTAAGGTTAGGAAGCCCTGTGGTCAGCTTATTTATGAAGATATAAACGATTTCATAGGGATCGACTGATAGTAAAACAATTTCTTTATCAAATAGCAATACAGGAATTTTTAATTTTTCTACCGGTGAGATGGGTTCCATAAATCGGTTTTTTACTAGTAGACCTTTTGTGACAGTGTAGCTAATGGTAGCGGATGGCGATCATGTGGTGCTGGCATGATGCAGAAATCACAACTTTCATGACGGGAAAGGTCATTCGTCAATTTTCATGACACCAACGAAAGGAGGTTAACAAACTGCACTCTATTCGCGTCATCAATACGGGCAGTGGCTGAAGTTACAGCGCCGATTTGCAATACAGGCAAACGTTGCCGATATACTAGCAACAAACTGATCATGCTTTGAGAACGTTTTCGAACAGATTGTCGTTACGCAGTTATGCCCGGTGTAAGCTTTTGAAGCTAAGTTATGAAGGAACCTCTCCAAACTGACTGGCATGCATCTTTTACTTGTTTGTTTTTCAAGGAGTGCACCCACCGCTTATTAGGCGAGCCAGCCTCGAATGAGTTTGATCACTTGCGACAGTTCCGTTCCTCACTTTTGCAGCGCAGAAAAGTCCGTACACATCAGAAATAACTTGAGATTATTTCCCTTCAGATAGACTCCTATTGCATTACAGAAGGTGCATTCCTACTGCATTACAGAAAATGCTGGAACAAATCTATCCATGCTCTGTGAATTCGTAACTCTTATCCAAAAACAACCTTCAGAGTGGAAAATCACTACTGATATTTCAAATCGAACTTCCTTCGACGTAGTCTTCGCTAGGTAATGATTAAAACAATATCAAGCACTGATCTTTTGTGTCAACATGTAGTAGTATTTTTAGACTATATAATTCCAATCGATATCTTCCTAGGCCAAACAGTCCTTCCATCCCTCCGGAGTCGATTAATTGGTGCCAGAGACGTCGGGGAGGATAAAAGCAATGGCTTGTACATCGGCTCGCCACCGCAAGTCATTGTATTGGCCACATACGCCACTAACCATAAGATTCTGAATCGAAGTCGAATACGTAGGCGCACCTCAGACGGGATTGAGGATTGATTAATGCTCCAAGACTTCATCGTCTTATCTTTCATATTTCTAAGCATTCCTGTGTATGTAGCACGAAAGCATTTGAGATTTGAAACTCGAAAATTTGTAATTCTATTCGGAAGACGCCCAGTGCACACTACCAGGAATTCTCAGACACCCACCTGAAGGAAAATAAGATTTGCCTGCTATGGGAAGTCGCCTGATTCGAAATAATCAAAGAGCGTGAATAGAGGCTCTTTGGGTCTTCAAAGGCATTATTGTAAAATCAAGTAAATCTCTGGCTGAGAAAACGCTGGCTAAAGAGTAATTCATTTCGATCTAAAAACTTGGGACAGGAGAAAATTGAACCATAAAAATTTTATTGTGTACGGTCAAGTATTTTCGGTACTGGTGGTGCTGCGCGCGACTCGTCACAAAAACCTACAAAATCGAAATTGGGAGTTGTGGTAAACCGAATCTCTTCAGTATAAATACCAGGAGCGCGCCAGCGTTCCTCACTCAACTCCACACATCAAGCTTACATTCATTCTTGAATGATACTTTTGTGTTTGCTCCAACACCCTTTTCCTCCAATTGTGGAGCTGAATCATATCTCGAGACCAAAGTGTTGAATTCTCCATGTTCAGATGCACTTGATTGTTCTTCTTGCTATTGCTGGTGCTGCGCTGGCCGGATTACCGTCGGGCTACGAGGCTGCTGAAATGGTGCAGCCTGCTCCACCTCCAATTTCCTCCGATGGTGGAGATCAGCAAGGATACAACAGCGATGCTGGAACGCAAGCTCCTGCTCCAGCTGCAGGACAAGGAGCAGTTGCTCCACCACCACCACCTGCTGCTGACCAGGGAGCTCCTCCTCCTCCTCCTCCTCCTCCTCCTTCTCCACCACCACCACCACCACCCGCTCCATCAGCGCCAGCAGACCAGGGAGGAGCTCTTCCTCCACCTCCTCCATCAGGACCAGCACCTGGTGGTGACATGGTAGGCTAACAATGCAACGTATCCAATAGTTCTAATAGAGAAGATTGCAGAAGCAAGAAAAGTGCTAATTTATTTCCAGGGATCTAGCAGCGGCGGATATCGTCATCGTTTCCGCGCTTATCGTCTTCATTGATCGCAAAGCATTTGTGGCAACATTTCATGGGTCTCTTTTCATGACCATCGGGTTCAATAAACTATTCTGACCTACCTTAACCTTTGAAAGACTCTCTGGATCTCAAATAATTAGAGAAACAAATAGTTCGCAACGAGTTTGACTACAAAAATTGTTCCAGGCGATGGTTTCGACTCGTCTGAGTTTGACTAAATGTAGGAGTTCAAATACACCAACCGTTTCCCCTGTCAGAGGTTCTCTGGCTTTCTCTGGCATCAGTGCCATGAAGGATAAAAAGAAAAAGTCTTGGGGCGTTAATAATCAATCATCATTGATCACTAATCGTCCGTCTAACGGATGCGCCCCGCATCCGACTTCCATTCACAGTCGTAGTGGCGTGTTGGAAGCATATGGGGCCTGTACAATGATTTGCCGTGGCGAGCCGATGTACAAGTCAGTGCTTTCATCCCCATTAACGAGGTTGGTAAAAAATGACCTACCCTCGAGGCATGGAAGGCTTGGCTGCCCTAGGCGGATACCGATCCGGAATTCGAACCGTCGAGCATGCGGTTGTGAAGTGACGCCACTTACCACTACTCACATCCACCCATCAATGCGATGAATAGAAACAATAGGGGCTCTAAACTGGCCGCTTCGACTGCAACTCCGGCCACGCCACGAGTATGGCAGCCGATTTTCAATAACCATCACAAGCGTTTGGTCAATAGCGGACTTTTGAGTTAAGGAACTCTAAATCCAGCCATAATTTTCGAGACTAATCATGCAGAAAGAAAGAGTAACGCTCATGCACATAAGTGGGTAGCACTGCAGCAATTTTCTATGTTTATTATCGCATCCCGCACCTGATTTACTCCCTCTGACATGGCGTTTTTTCGAATGAACAGAAAATACCGGGAAAAGATTTCACTCGAAGTATAAAATGCATTGCTTAAAAAATTTTTGCATCAGCAAACCGCAGAACGGAGCTTAAGCTATACGAATGGGTGCATCTTATACAGAACTGGATGTCCCTCTCTTGGTCCGGCATCGCTCTCGACGCGTGTTCAGATAAGTAATCCAGGTAACTGCTGTAATTACAGAAAAACACAAAAACATTCGAAATGCACCAAGGTCCTTACATTTACAAGAAAGATCTTCATGGTTGAATTCAGTAAACTATCCAATTACACGTTCTCCTCTCAGTTATTATACTACAACACGTCTCCTAGTTTTTGGCTACATGGGCACTTTACATACCGGCAGGTTCCGCATGGGGAACCCAAGCAGTGTTGTGACGATAACTGGTAGGAGGACTCTTTGGATATTGTATCAGGGAGCCGGCTGTTCTTAATCGACACGATGGCATGTCGAGTTTTAGAAGGGAGAACCGAATAACATCCTGTGGCCTGTGTTCCTACCAAGACTGCTGTTGGTCCAGGCGAACAGGAGCTAGGAATTTTTGGTCACACACACACACACACACACACACACACACACACACACACACACACACACCAC